TGCTTGTTTATTCATAGCTGCTTAACAACAGCTGGCTTGGGACTGAGTACATATTAAAACACAATTGGCAAATAACACACATCGTATTTGAATGACTAGAATTTTCTGTGCTGTTCATGCCAGCACCATTATCACTATGCATTTTTTGAACTCATTTGTTCATTCAGATGAACTATAGACAACAAAAAGCAATGGACCTTTTGCACTTAAGCGATTCTAATTAACGTGCACCCAAAGTGGTGGTAAAATGGCGGATTTTTGGAGGAAAGACAGGCTGAACAATCTTCTCTTTTATCCAGCCATTCTAGCTGTAAGAGCCACTTTGAGCTCTCCTTTTGTTTCAGTATACTCTATTTATTTATTCTGTAAGCTCTTTGGTTGCTGTTTTGGCTTTTATAGCATTTTATCATAGGAATATTCTCATCCATTGGCAATTCCCGTTTTTCTAAATTTTGCTTTCAGGAGCCAGGGCGCTTGCCCCTCCATTGCCATGAAGACAGAAGTGTATTCAGCTGAGTCCTACGACTAGTGTCTATCATCAGACTTAGTCTCAGTCCATCAGAACCAGGTACGGTGGAATAACTCACTCAGTTGTCATGTTGCAGCTGGAGTGTGGATGATTATGACCATCTTTTCACTTCTTAAAACTTTAGGATTGGTCTTTAATCACATGTAAGAAGGATTCCAAGGAACATAAGTGTGCTGGAATAGCTCAGCATCATGTAACTAGCTCTTAATAGTGACGTCTAGTATGAAGTAAAACACTTCCATCGTTACATGATTTTAATATTTTATTTATGATAAAATTGATGTTAATTACAATAATTATCTTTGTTATCGTCAAGATAGTTTCTAATTATTGTGTATATACTGTTAGTATCATAAAGTATGAGTAAATACATAAATAGTTGTCTATACAAATGCAATATAGTGACCTAGTGATAACAACAATAATAGTTCTAGCAACAACACCCATAATGTTTTCTATAATTTAAATAATAAGTATAACTGTTGGGAGAGGATACAAATGGTTTAGAGCCATGAACAAGTCCTGAATGTGACAATTCCTCTCTCCAAGTATTGGATAGCGACTG